TGTAAGAAAATAAATATGTGAATAGCTAAAAAATTAAATAAATATCTAAAAAATTGAAAAAAAATCTAAAAAAAAAAATCTAAGAAAATCTAAAAATATCTTTAGAAATCTAATCTCTAAAAAAATACAAAGAATCCAAAATCATGTCAGAAACATGTAAAGTTTCTGTGGATCCCTCCCCTCAGGATCCACAGCCCTGGACCTGTTCAAGTTCTACGTGGAGGACCTGAAGGCTCGTTACCACGACGAGAAGAAGATCATCAAAGACATCCTAAAGGTGAGCAAATCCCAGGAAATTCCTTGTCGTGCCAGATCCCTCCTCCCAGGGAACCTGTTGGTGCTGGGAATTCCTGACTCCCCGATGCCAAGGAATTCCTTTCCTTCCAGGACAAGGGCTTCGTGGTGGAGGTGAACACTTCCTTCGAGGACTTCGTCACCGTCATCAGCTCCACCAAAAGAGCCACAACTTTGGATGCAGGAAATATCAAACTGGCTTTCAACAGTGTAAGTGTGCAGGGAGACCAGAATTACAATATAATATCAATAATTATCCGGGATATTTTAATATGTGTCATTAATAAATGTCAAATTAGTGGTTTTATTAGGGTAATTAATTAGGGTATGAAATCTCTTGCCTAAACAAGAATGAACATTTATTTTAGGGTATGAAATCTCTTGTCCAAGCAAGAATTAACATTTATTTTCACTGTATTGCTCTGCCTACTCCCATAATAATTTGGGGAGATGCTTATGCTGATATCAGTTGCCAGAATTATGGCAGAGGTTGATCTTCATTCCAGCCATCACCATTCCAGCTTAGGGAATTCTGGGGTAGGAATTGAGTCAGGTTCTCTGATTTACACACAGCTGATCTCATGAGCTGTGTGTGTGTTTCTGGAGTTTATTAATTAACTCTATTTTAGATTCTCAGGAACAGCCACTCTGTGCTTTGAAATTAAACCATTGATTAATTATTATTATTATTATTATAATTCACACTAACAGACCACTCCGAAGGTGAACTGGCTTTCCAAAAATCCCATTAAACTGGATTATCCCCCTTCCACTTGGATGTCTTGGAAATATCCTGTGCCTTTTCCTTATCTCCTGTGCCTTTTCCTTATCTCCTGTGCCTTTTCCTTATCTCCTGTGCCCTTTCCTTGCTGCAGCTGCTGGAGAAGGCCGAGGCGCGGGAGCGGGAGCGGGAGAAGGAGGAGGCTCGGAAGATGAAGCGCAAGGAGTCGGCCTTCAAGAGCATGTTGAAACAGGCCACCCCCCCCATCGAGCTGGATGCTGTCTGGGAGGATGTGAGTGTGGCCCTTCCTTAGGAAACAATTCCCAAAGGGATTCAACAGCCAGCTAACCCCTAACCCCAATGGTAACCCCTAACCCTAACCCCACTCCCCCCATCGAGCTGGACGCCGTCTGGGAGGACGTGAGTGTGACCCTTCCTTAGGAAACAATTCCCAAAGGGATTCAACACCCTGATCCTAACCCTAACTACACCCCACAGCAAGCTGGATGTGGTCTGGGAGGATGTGAGTGTGACCCTTCCTTAGGAAACAATTCCCAAAGGGATTCAACACCCTGATCCTAACCCTGACTACACCCCACATCAAGCTGGATGTGGTCTGGGAGGATGTGAGTGTGGCCTTTCCTTAGGAAACAATTCCCAAAGGGATTCAACACCCTCCTAACCCTGATCCTGACTCTAACCCTACTCCCTCCATCAAGCTGGATGTGGTCTGGGAGGATGTGAGTGTGGCCTTTCCTTAAGAAACAATTCCCAAAGGGATTCAGCAGCCTCCTAACCCTAACCCTACACCCCACATCAAGCTGGACGCTGTCTGGGAGGATGTGAGTGTGATCCTTTCCTCAGGAAAGAATTCCCAGATGGATTCAACAGCCTGCTACCTGCTAAGGTTAACCCTGAACTCTAATCCTAACCTTAATGGTCCTTTCCTTAGGAAAGAATTCCCAAATGGATTCAACCACCTGCTGCCTGTTAATGCTAACCCCTAATCCTGATCCCACCCCTAACCCTACATCCCCCAGCGAGCTGGACACTGGCTGGGAGGATGGGAGTGTGGCCTTTCCTTAAGAAACAGTTCCCAAAGGAATTCAACAGCCTCCTAACCCTAATCCTAACCCTAACCTTAACCACTAGCCTGGCCCAAACCCTAAACCCCGACCCTAATGGTCCCTTCCTTAGGAAAGAATTCCCAAGTGGTTTCACCAGCCTGCTGCTGCTAATGCTGACCCCTAACCCCAACCCTGGACCTAAACCATGAACCCTAAACCCTTTATTCCTGTTATTATTTTTATTTCTAAATGCTCTATCTGCTATTATAATTCCATTACTGTTTTTCTGGCAGATCAGAGACAGGTTTGTGAAGGAACCAGCATTTGAAGACATCACCCTGGAGTCTGAAAGGAAAAGGATATTTAAAGACTTCTTACATGTACTAGAGGTAGTTCCTAATTTACTTTTTTCCCTCATGAGAGAATATACAAAAAAAAAAAATTCCTATTCCTCCTAAGTTGGGTGGGAAGGGGAAGGATTCAACAGGACTTTGCTGATTTCTGGTACATTGGGAATCACCTAAAAGTGATGGATATAAAACCTCATCTCCCAAGTGAGCAACTGGAGAAACATCTCACACTTATTTGAGAAATAATTGGTCTTTGAATCTGCTCCTGCAAGAATTTTTGGAGTTGACACGAAAATTTCCTGCTTTGTTTTAGGAAATTTATTGCTGGGATTTCATAGGAAACAAGATGAAATTGGAACTAAACTTGTCCAGGATTTTATTCCCTACGAATCAGGGTCTCCCAGAACACACCAGAATCATGATTATTTTTTTTACTGTGATTGATTTTCTTGCTGATGAGCAAAACAAATGCTGTAGTTTAATTCCATCCTTAGTTTTGGTTGAGCTGCAGAACTTCTGACAGGGTTCAATAAAGTGCCAGTGTGAGATTTATTTCACTGTGCAGCACGTGCTCTTTGGGGGTTTTGTTTTATTTCATATGCTGCAGTTTGTAAGAATTTGGGCTTCAAATGACTTAATTTGACAATTTGAAATTTGGCAAAGCAAGGTGTGGGTTTTAGGCCGGTTTTAAACTGGATCCAGGTACCAAACCTTGTGTTTCCTTGCTCCTGGGGGCTTTTATTGGGGCAACAGTGCCCATTTTTGGGGGGGGTTGACAGTAAATGTGTGATTGGGGGTTTTTAACCCGTCCCAGGTTTGTGGAGGGTGAGGAACGTGGTCCTGGGTTCTTGGGGTGTCCTCAGGGAGCTGCTGAGGTGGGGCTGCCTCATTCCTGGGGGACTGTTCTCCAGGGACTGCAGGGACAGGACACAGGGAATGGCTTCCAACTGAAAGAGAGGAACTTTAAGTTGGATCTTGGGAAGGAATTGCTGGCTGGGAGGGTGGGGAGGCCCTGGCCCAGGTTGGGCAGAGAAACTGTGGCTGCCCCTGGATCCCTGGGAGTGTCCAAGGCCAGGTGTTGGGGTTGGAACTGGATGACCTTTAAGGTCCTTTCCAGCCCAAGCCCTCTGGAATTGTGTGCTGACCCCTCTCCTGTCCCCCAGCACGAGTGCCAACACCACCACTCCAAGACCAAGAAACATTCGAAGAAGTCCAAAAAGCATCACCGGAAACGCTCCCGCTCCCGCTCCGTAAGTGTTCCAGGGGCCCCCAAACCCACCTCTGCCACAGCTCCTGGTGGCTCCTGTCCTTGGGATCCATGGTAACCATTCCCTGGCTTTGCATCCGAAGGGCTCCGAGTCCGAGGACGACGACAGCCACTCCAAGAAGAAGCGGCAGCGCTCGGAGTCCCGCTCGGTGTCCGAGCGCTCGTCCAGTGCGGAATCCGGTACGGGATGGGGCTGGGTTGGGTTGGAATCCTCATTCCCAACTGGATTGCTGGGTCTTCATCACTCCACTGATGTGGTTTTGTCTCCTGTGCCTGCAGAGAGGAGTTACAAGAAGTCCAAAAAGCACAAGAAGAAGAGCAAGAAGAGGAGACACAAGTCTGTAAGTGCAGTTCAGCTCTGAGGTGCCTCGTGGCCAACCTGGCACTGCTTTCACTCAGCCAGAGGGGATTTTCCAGGGAAAAAAAACCTGCTGGAGTGGGATCAGGCTGGAGGAGGGTGTTGCCAACATAATACCTCTGTTATATATCTTCATATTGAACCACTGCTAAATCTGGAGGGGTTAAGTGCAGCCATGTGAGATGTGAAGGACTGCACTAACAACTTGGAATTTGCTGTTTATCCTGGCAAATCCTGGTGTTCACTGTTATTGTGGGAAGAATTCCAGCCATTCCCTGTGCCTGCCTGTCAGGGATGTGTCAGAAGCTCTGAATCACCTGTGTCAGGCCCTGTATCACCTGAGGTCAAAGAGTAGGGTTTGTAAAAGTAAAAGCCAGAAAAACCATTTTCCAGAGCTCACCACTTCCAGAGATCTCATGGAATGACTGCCAGTTGTGCACAGGGATGGGCTGAGGGACATCCAGCATGTCCCACCTTTGCACTGGGAATGGTGGAAGTTCTGCCTTGAACAAACTTTCCTCGATGTTTTTGGGTTATTTATTTCTGTGCTTAATTAGGAACTACTTGGAGCAGTTTCCAGGGGCTGGATTAAAACAGAGCCAGTGAAAAGGGGAAATTTAGGTTGGATATTGGGAAGGAATTCCTGGCTGGGAGGCTGGGGAGGCCCTGACACAGGTTACCAGAGGAGCTGTGGCTGCCCCTGGATCCCTGGAAGTGTCCAAGGCCAGGTTGGAGCAACCTGGAATAGTGGGAGGTGTCCCTGCCATGGCAGGGGTGGAAGGAGATGATCCTTAATGTCCCTTCCAACCAAACCATTCTGGGATTCCATAAAATCAAGTCAGACTTTTCTGCCTGTGGTTATTCTATAAATCAATACTGAACATCTTCAACACTGATACTCAACATTTCCCTCTTTACTTCTCCAGGATTCCCCGGAGTCGGATCTGGAGCGGGAGAAGGACAAGAAGGAGCGGGACAGTGAGAAGGAGCGGGGCCGGCAGAGATCCGAGTCCAAACACAAATCTCCCACCAAGAAACGGCCCGGAAAAGATTCCGTAAGCTCTGCTCCCACCTGCTGCCTGTGGGGTGGGATGGGATGGGATGGGATGGGATGGGGTGGGATGGGATGGGATGGGATGGGACAGGGGGCAGCTCTAGGGGGTGTTCCAAGGTCACAGTTGGACTCTTGGTCAAAGGTGGGACTCCGTGATCTCGGAGGTCTTTCCCATTCCCAAATAATTGGGTTTTTGTGGATCCTGAGTGTGCCACAGAGCAGCCACCTGTGCCACGAGCTGCCCAGCTCTGTCTGTGTCCTCTCTCAGGGTCCCAGTGGGCACAGGTGGCAACTCCAGAGGGTCCATCCCCCTGGGAAGCCCCATCCTGAGCACGATCCCGTTGTCTCCGCAGGGGAACTGGGACACGTCGGGCAGCGAGCTGAGCGAGGGGGAGCTGGAGAAGCAGAGGAGGACTCTGTTGGAGCAGCTGGATGAAGATCAATGACAAATTATTTATACCAAAAATGTTTACACGGCATCCCAGCCCAGCAGAGCTGGAATTACAGCGGCTTTTAGTTTGTCCCACGTCACCCCAGGCAGTCCCTATTGGCAGCAAATGGAGACAACCAATGGAATTCCCAGGGAAAAGCTGGGAAAAAACCTGGAGTGCTGGGCTGGGCTGGGCAGGGAGTAACACTGGGCTGCTGGGCAGAGCCATTCCAGCTTTGGAAAAGGGCCTTTAATTTAGTTTCTGCTGGTTTAATTAATTCCCTGCATGGATCTGGGATATTGGGGGTTTTCCTCTGGGAAAGCAACAGGAGCGACGAATCCACGTCCTGATCTCTCCTGCAAACCCCCAGATTTTGGGATTGTTCTCGGTCCCAGTGTGGAGTTTGGCCGAGACTTCACTGACTGAGCACTGACTCCAAGTAAATAACCCAGGGAATGGGAATGGGAATGGGAATGTGGCTGCAGCGCCAGCAGAGGGGGTGTGTGTGACACAACCACCTCATTCCCAAATCCCGCCCCGGCCCGGCCGCGGGTGTTCCCTCAGCGCTTATCTCCACCTCCAGCTCCACCTGGACCTTCCCCTCGGGAAAATTTAGGAATAAAGCTCAAATTTGCCCCCGATTTCCATGTGTTGCCTTAAGGACCTGCTGCAGAATGTCCCTGCCCGGCCCAGAGCAGGGAGGAGGAGGAGGAGGAGGCAATTCCAGCCCTGTTTTCCAGCCCCTGAGTGTCCAGGAAGGTGCCCCCGCCCTGCTCGGGGAGAAAAATTGGGAATCTGCTCTCCTTGGAATATTTTTGTACATTTTTATTGATGATTAAACCTTGTCTTGTACCCTGGCTGGTGTCTCTTTGTCCTGGAGCAATCCTGGCTCTGCCCCTTGGAATTCCAACCTATCCCTCACAAATCCCATCCAGGGAACACTCCCAGCTCAGTTCCTTCCCAACCTGGATTTTCCCTCTTTTTGACACCCCCCCAGGTGGATTCATCCCGGGAATTCTCTTGCTGGGGTGGTCACGTGGCTCACACTCCTTGGGAACACGCTGGGAGTGGAATTGGGAATTCCAGGTGGAAAAGGCAGGAGCCCAAAACCATTTTTCCTGGGCTGATTTGGGATTTTTTTCCCTGGGATCAGCTGTGATTTTCCCTGGGATGAATTGGGGTTTTTTCCTGGGCTGATTTGGGATTTCTTTTCCTGGCACGAGTTGGGATTTTTTCCTGAGATGATTTGGGGGTTTCCTTGGGATGATGTGGGAGATTTTCCTGGGGTGATTTGGGATTTTTCCTGGGATGATTTGGGATTTTTTTCCTGGGATCATCTGGGATTTTCCCTGGAATGATTTGGGATTTTTCCTAGTATGATTCTGGATTTTCCTTGGGATGATACAGGATATTGTCCTGGGGTGATCTGGGGTTTTTCCTGGGATCATTTGGGATTTTTTTCCCAAGATGATTTGGAATTTTTCCTGGGATCATCTGGGATTTTTTCTGGAAGATTTTGAGATTTTTTTCTTGGTATCATCTGCGATGTTTTTTCTGGAATTATTTGGGATTTTTTCCTGGGGTGATTTGGGATTTTTTCTGGGATCATCTGGGATTTTTTTCCCAGGATTATTTGGAATTTTTTCCTTGGGATGACTTGGGGTTTTCCTTGGGATGATATGGGATATTTTCCTGGGATGATTTGTGATATTTTCCTGGATTGATTTGGGATTTTCCCTGGGTTGATTTGGGACTTTTTCTGGTATGATTCTGGATTTTCCTTGGGATGATTTGGGATATTGTCCTGGGGTGATCTGGGATTTTTTGTGGGATCATTTGGGATTTTTTTCCCAGGATGATTTGGAATTTTTTCCTGGGATGATTTGAGATTTTTTCCTGGGATCATCTGGGATTTTTCCTGGAATATTTTGAGATTTTTTTCTTGGTATCATCTGGGATTTTTTTTCCTGGAATGATTTGGGATTTTTTCTTGGCTGATTTGGGATTTTATTTCTGGAATGATTTGGGGTATTTTCCTGGAATTATTTGGGGGTTTTTTTCTTGGAATGATTTGGGATTTTTTTCCTGGGCTGATTTGGCATTTTTTCTTGGGATCATCTGGGATTTATTTCTGGGATTATCTGGGATTTTTCCTCGGATGATTTGGGATTTTTTTTCCCAGGATGATTTGGGATTTTTTTTCCCAGGATCATTTGGGATTTTTCCTAGGATTATTTGGGTTTTTTTTTCCTGGATCACCTGGCATTTTTCCCAGGATGATCTGGGATTTTTCCTGGGATCATCTGGGATTTTTTTCCTGGGATGATTTAGAATTATTTTCCTGGAATGCTTTGGCATTTTTTCGTGGAATTGTTTGGGATTTTTTCTTGGGATCATCTGGGATTTTTTTCCTGGGATAATTTGAGGTTTTTTTCCTGGAATTATTTGGGATTTTTTCCTGGGGTGTTTTGGGATTTTTCCTGGAATCATGTGGGGGTTTTCCCAGGATTATTTGGGATATTTCCTTTAATTATTTGAATTTTTTTCTTGGGATGATTTGGGATTTTTTTCCTGGAATTATTTGGTATTTTTCCTGGGATCATCTGGGATTTTCCTGGAATATTTTGAGACTTTTTCCTGACATCATCTGGCATATTTTTTGTTGGGGTTATTTGGGATTTTTCCTGGGATAATTTGGGATTTCTTTCCTGGAATGGTCTGAGATTTTTTCCTGGAATTATTTGGGGTTTTTTTGTTGGGGTGATTTGGGATTTTTCCTGGGATCATCTGGGATTTTTCCCAGGGATATTTGGGATCTTTCCTTTAATTACTTGGGTTTCTTCCTGGGACGATTTGGGATTTTTTCCTGGGATCATCTGGGATTTTTTTTCCCGGGATGATTTGGAATTATTTTCCTGGAATTATTTGGGGATTTTTCTTGGGATGATTTGGGATTTTTCCTGGGATCATGTGGGGTTTTTCCCAGGATTATTTGGGATGTTTCATTTAACTATTTGGATTTTTTTCCCGGGACGATTTGGGATTTTTCCTGGAATTATTTGGGATTTTTCCTGGGATCATCTGGGATTTTTTTTTCCTGAGATGATTTGGAATTTTCCTGGGGTGATTTAGGTTTTTTCCTGGGATGATTTGGGGTTTTCCTTGGGATGATTTGGGATTTTCCTTGGGATAATTTGGGATATTTTCCTGGGATGATTTGGGATTGTTTCCTGGGATCATCTGGGATTTTTCCTGGAATATTTTAAGATTTTTTCTTGGCATCATCTGTTTGGTTTTTTTTTCCTGGGATGATTTGGGATTTTCCGTGGGATGATTTGGGATTTTATCCTGGGAGGACCCGGGGTTTTTCCTGGGATCATCTGGGATTTTTTCCAGGATGATTTGGGATTTTTCCTGGGATAATTTGGCATTTTTTCATGGAATTATTTGGGTTTTTTTGCTGGGATGATTTGGAATTATTTTTCCCCTGGGATCATCTGGGATTTTTTTTCCCAGGATGATTTGGAAGTTTTTCCTGGGATGATTTGGGGTTTTTTTCCCGGAATGATTTGGGATTGTTTCCTGGGATCATGTGGGGGGTTTCCCAGGATTATTTGGGATCATCTGTTTTTTTATTTCCTGGGATGATTTTGAAGTTTTTTCTTAGAATGATTTGGGGTTTTTTTCCTGGAAATATTTGGGGTTTTTTCCTGGGATGATTTAGAATTTTTTCCTGGGGTGATTTGGGGTTTCCTTGGGATGATTTGGGATATTTTTCTGGGGTGATTTAGGATTTTTTTCCTGGGATCATCTGGGACCTTTTTTCTTGGGGGGAATTGGGATTTTTTTCCTGGAATTATTTGGGATTTTTCCTGGAATCACCTGGGATTTTTCCCCAGAATAATTTGGGATGTTTCCTGGAACTATTTGGGGTTTTTTTCCTGGGATGATATGGGATTTTTTTTCCCGGGATCATCTGGGATTTTTCCTGGGATAATTTGGCATTTTTTCATGGAATTCTTTAGGGGTTTTTTCCTGGGATGATTTGGGATTGTTACCTGGGATCTTCTGGGATTTTTCCTGAGATAATTTGTGATAATTTCCAGGGGTGATTTGGGATTTTTCCCGGAATTATTTGGGGTTTTTCCTGGGATGATTTGGGATTTTTTTCCTGGGACAATCTGGGGTTTTTCATGGGATCATCTGGGATTTTTTCTCCTGGGATCATTTGGAAGTTTTTTCCTGGAATGATTTGGGATTTTTCCTGGAATTATTTGGAGTTTTTTTCCTGGAATTATTTGGGATTTTTTTTTTTCTTGGGGTGATTTGGGATTTTTCCTGGGGTGATTTGGGATTCTTTTCCTGGAATGCTTTGGCATTCTTTCCTGGAATTATTTGGGGTTTTCTTGGGATGATTTGGGATTTTTTTTCCTGGGATCATCTGCAATTTTTTCCTGGAATGATTTGGCATTTTTTCCCGGAATTATTGGGGATTTTTTCCTGGGATCATCTGGGATTTTTCCCAGGATTTTTTGTGATGTTTCCTGGAATTATTTGGGGTTTTTTCTTTGGATGATTTGGGATTTTTTTTCTTGGGATCATCTGGGATTTTTTTTCCTGGGATAATTTGAGATTTTTTCCTGTAATTATTTGGGATTTTTTCCTGGAGGATTTGGAATTTTTCCTGGGATCATCTGGGATTTTCCCTGGAATGTTTTGAGATTTTTTCTTGGCATCATCTGGGATTTTTTTTTTCTTGGGGTGATTTGGGATTTTTCCTTGGATGATTTGGGATTTTTTTCCTGGAATGATTTGGAGTTTTTTCCTGGGGTCATCTGGGTTTTTTTTTTCTGGAATGATTTGGCATTTTTTCGTGGAATTATTTGGGATTTTTCCTGGGATCATCTGGGATTTTTCCCAGGATTATTTGGGAGGTTTCCTTTAATTATTTGGGTTTATTTCCTTGGATGATTTGAGATTTTTTTCTTGGCATCATCTGGGATTATTTTTCTCGGGGTGTTTTGGGATTTTTTTCCTAGAATGATTTGGCATTTTTTTCCTGGGGTGATTTGAGATTTTTTTCCTGGGATGATCTGGGATTTTTCCCAGGATTATTTGAGATGTTTCCTGGAATTATTTGGGGTTTTTTCCCCAGGATGATTTGGGATTTTTTTTCTTAGCATCATCTGGGATTTTTTTCCTGGGATAATTTGAGATTTTTTCCTGGAATTATTTGGGATTTTTTCCTGGGGTGATTAGGAATTTTTCCTGGGATCATCTGGGATTTTTCCCAGGATTATTTGAGATGTTTCATTTAATTATTTGGGATTTTTTTCCTGAATGATTTGGGATTTTTTTCCTGGAATTATTTGGGATTTTTCCTGGGATCATCTGGGATTTTTCCCAGGATTATTTGGGATGTTTCCTTTAATTATTTGGGATTTTTTCCCTGGATGATTTGAGATTTTTTCCTGGATCATCTGTTTTGTTTTTTTTCCCGGGGTGATTTGGCATTTTTTCCTGGAATGATTTGGGGTTTTTTTCCTGGAAATATTTGGGGTTTTTTCCTGGGATGATTTGGAATTTTTTCCTGGGGTGATTTGGGGTTTCCTTGGGATGATTTGGGATATTTTCCTGGGGTGATTTAGGATTTTTTTCCTGGGATCATCTGGGATTTTTCCTGGAATATTTTGAGATTTTTTTCTTGGCATCATTTGGCATTTTTTTTTTCTTGGGATGATTTGGGATTTTTTTCCTGGAATGATTTGGGGTTTTTTTCCTGGGGTCATCTGAGATTTTTCCCAGGATTATTTGGGATGTCTCCTTTAATTATTTGGGGTTTTTTCCTGGAATGATT